AGGCTCTTGGTCTTACATTCTGAAGGCACCGCTGGGATTCCTGGGTGTGCTTCACTAGTCAGCTCCTCGGAGCGTTTGGTAAGGCCCTCGGTCTTACACTTTCTAGCCCTGTGGGTGGGGCTAAGACCTAATCATCCTGTCCTATATAAGGATGGTAATTTTAATGTGGCCAGAATCCTGATGTTCTCAGCTCAGTGCATGCAGCTCCACTACTCACCATGCTGTGCAGTGAGCAGGAGGATCCAGAGGAGATTCAGGACTGAAATGAGGTTTCTGTGTGGGTGAGACTTGGCTTTGTTGCGTGCCATGTTTTCTTTCTGCAGCAACCTATATATTATTGTACAGTGTCCACTAAATTTGTCTTTAGCATGAAAGCTGTTTTTTTGTGGGCCCTGTACATCAGTAGATTTGTTAATTGATATTTTCATTATCTAAATGTGCTGCTAGGAGGTGACATTTGCTGCAGATGTGTTACTAGGGCCATGTCTGTAGCTACAACCACCTTTCCTTCCTCTCTGGCTGCCATAGTTTGAACATATTTTCCTCCATCTTGGCACTTTCCCATCCAGTTTGTACCTTGGAACCAGGAGAACATGAAACAAAACTGAGTCAACATAAAACCCACTCCTTTCAGTTGAGCTTGTCGATATTTTGTCCCAGTGACAGGAATGTGCTTAAGACATGTAATTCTGCTAAGTCTGTTATAAGCTTAAATAGGAGATCTCAAACACACAAGTTGTATCCTTCACTCTGGGCTTCATTGTGAAGATGGTAAATTCCAAAAGTGACAAACACTTCCCCACAGTTCCAAAGTCATTATAGGGTGTTTAAAATCATTTAAAAATTAACATTAGCTATGATTAAATTCAGTGTAAGATCACTTGCCAAACATCCGTATACCTCTTTCTTATATTCAGAGCAGTGAAAATAATGAATAAATAAGTCAATAATGAAGTTTTATAGTGTATCATACCAAAATTAGATATGTTTAACATTTTAAATAAGAGCAGAAGAAATCATGCTGTAAATGAAAACTACAAGAAAGGACTACCCGTTAAACTCACACTTTTTTTTGAAGTAGGTACTCACATGTACATGCAATTCCTGTAGGAGTGCAAATGAAAAACAGGATTGGTCACATTATCGCTGTGGTTCATTGGTAGTTTGTAGACATTATTCATAATAAGACATGCTGAATGAGGTAGTAGTTTGACTAAAAACTGTATTGCATCAGGTGATAAATACCTTACCTGTCACCAATTGTTCCTGCCTTATTGATGACCAGTCTCCTCCTTTGGCAACTTTTCCAAAGTTTGCCATGTGTGATTTTCCATGAGTGATGCTCTTTTAGCTTCCTTTCAATTTTCAATACTATAAAGGATATTGGATAGGGAAATATTTTGTGAGAGTTTGTTTGTATTTATTTGTTTATTTTTTTGTCTCACTATTGTTCACAAGTGATATGTGAATGAAGGGAAAAGTATTTCTCATCCATTCCATTGGGTATGAAGTTCCAGATTTTTCAATTTTACTTGAAAACAATTACATTTATTCCCAGGAATAATAGCACAATGTATTTTCTGGATATTGGAAAGAAGTCAGTGGCCTGTGGATTTTGGTAACTCCAAAGTAAAGGTGAAGGATATGAAATGTAGCAGCTGATTCTCCATTTTTTGATAAGTCTACTGATTGTGTTGTTCCACACTTCAGTTTTCTTTAGTGATATTCTCAAGAGTTGAATCTTGTTTTATATTCAATGTTTCTCTTGAGGCAGATGTGTTATAGTTACTTTTTAGATTAATCTTTATTCTCTATACAGTCTTTATGTTGTGTACCCAGCAAAAATTTTCTTATTGATCTCTTATGATTTCCATAGATTTCAGTTTCTGCTTCTCCTGATATCTACCTGAATTTTTTATGAGGAATCTGTTTCTTCTCTGAATGTTTTTTCACTATAAATTCTTAAGGTATTCAAGTTTATCTTTCCCATTTTAATATGTAACCTAACTACATAGAATAGAAGAGTATATGATCCAGATTTACAAGTACATACCTATTTTTCTTCAACATAAATGGAACACATTGCGATTTCTTCCAGGGTTGTGTAACACCAGCTCCATTATGAATCAATATTCTTTTTATCTGTGGATCCATTGAAGACTATCTTCCTTTCCTGAGGTCCATTTCTCATTCTCTCTACTAATCGTACACTGACATGAAAGGTGGAATTTGAATGTCTTTCATGTATATTGTTCAAGCTCTCACCTTGCTCACAAGGTGTTGAATGTTAGTCTTTTATTGTAGTGTATAGCCATATATATTTTTTTGGTACCCAGGATTGAATTCAGGTCCTTGTGCTTTCAAGGCAGGCATGGTGCCACTGAGCTAAATCCACAGCCCACAGTCATAATTTTTTTAACAAATTAAAGATGTGAGTAATGAGTGGCACAGTAAGCTTTTTTAGTGCCCCATTTTGGGGAGGAATAAGAGACAGAGTCTCACTCTGTAATCTTGACAGCCCTTGAACTTCCTGCATAGCCCAGCCTGGACATTGAACTCATAACAATCCTCAGATTCATGGCAGTCCTCCTATATCAGCCTCCCAAGTGCAGGGATTACAGGCGTATTCCACCACACCTGGTTGAAGTTTTCCTTTTGTATTTAATGATGAATTACATTGTGATATTTTGGTTTTCATTGCATTTAATATATTTCATTAATATTCATCCCCTCATTACCTTCCCTTATACCATCCTTGTATTTCTTATATCTAAGTGCAAGGTGACCATTTGGTGTCACTGAGCTATAAGACAATATGGCAACTTTCCCCTATTTCATTGTTCTTACATAGATTTGCTCCAAGAAAACTGTGTTTCTTTTAGCATTTTAATTATTCATAAACCTTATTTAATATTCAATTAAGGTTTTTTTCTATTAAACCAAATTCAAGTTTCCAAATTCTCCATGAGTGCAAAGAAAGATGGACTGAATTCCGTGAATAACCAGATTTGAAAAGAGACATAATCTATGGTATATCAGAACCATTCATTAGATATTTATGTGACTCTGTGCTTTTTGGATTGTGATTTGCTGGCTTCCTGTATGAGCTCTGCTTTAGAGACAGGGCACAAATACAACTTGTGTGATCCTGAAGGAGAACTAAGTGCTACTATTCCACTATTACTTTAGCAATGTGTTTCAATTTAGCATCAGAATGAGGGTATGAAAATATTTACATATCAATGAGCTTGATGATGAAGACGTGGAACTAATATTTGAAGGAATCATATTCAGTTCAGCTTTTCATGAGAGGAGTTGTGATACTTCAGGGTGTGCATCTGACCCAACAGGAAACAGTTCGTTCTTTAGGAGACTGTGACCTTTGAGGATGTAGCTGTGAACTTTACCAAGGCAGAATGGGCTTTGCTGAATCCACCCCAAAAGAAGCTCTATGAAGATGTGATGTGGGAAACCTGTATGCATATGAGTGCTATAGGTAAGAATAACATCATTTTCTTACTTATACAAGCTTGCTCAGTGATGTTATTTTCTTTCCCTTTTGAAATTTATTTATTTATTTATTTTTTGAGAGAGAGTCAGGCTGGGCTCATACTCACTGAGTAGAACAGGCTGACCTTCAACTTGTCCTTCCTCAGCTTCCTGATGAGTGATGTAGGTTCAGTGATGAACCTACTCAGTGATGCTGGTTCATCATCCAGCTCAGTGATGTAGGTTAATTAAGTAGAATGTTATAACATTTGAAGAATGTCTCAGGTCTGTTTATATTATACCATGTATCTAACTGGAATATATTAATTTTTATGTAATGATATAGTGACTTGTTATATTTCTATGTCTATAATTCAGAAAGAACCTGTGGTAACCAGCAAATGGAAGAACAATACAAAAATTGTTCAAGAAATCCAAGGTAATTTTTACTCACAAGACAAAGGAATATTCAAGAGTCAATGTGAAAGCAGAAATATTACAACCAAGGAAAATGAAGAAATGAGGCTGTTTTCCAATTTATTTAATCTCACAAAAATTTCCAGAGATGAATATAGGTTCATTTTGTATAATGTTACAATTGAATACAGAAATATTCCAATATAGGAAACAAAAGTGGTACTGACATTATGCAACAAGTGACACTATCTGCTCTATTAGTATAAAAATATTTCATAATCAACATCATAGTAATGTAGGAGACTGCATTTAAGTATTGTATATATGCAGATATGAAATGGATAAATTTTGAACTTTACCAGGAACTTATCTTTAAAATATCCATGTATACA